TACGGGACGGCTTAGGTCCATCGGGACCGTCCGGGGGAGGAGATATCGGCTGGCATCCTGGGAGCCCAGGATCGCCCGCCGTATCGCCGCGACGCCAGCTCCGCCCTCCCCAAAATAACACTTTTAAAGTTACATGAACAAATGCCTGAGGACATGGATTTTTTTTTTTTTTAGAAACTCATGTCCTCAGGCACTTTCACAGATATTTGAAAGCTGATTTCTGAACTCAGAGTGGATTCCAAGTCTGACTGAGCATCTGAGTTGTAGGAATTCAGTGTAGCATGGAAAGGATATAGTGAGGGCTTACAGTGGGGTGAAAAAATGTTAAGGAGCATGAAAAATAGTCCCTAGAAGAATGTCAAAGAAAGACTGCCCTCCAGGAATAAAGGAAGTGTCATGAAATTTCCAGCAGTTTAATGATGTACAGTTGGAGCTAGTTTCTGATGAAATCTTGAACTTTCTGTGGCACAGAAAAACATAAAGGGAGGAGTTCAAATGTGATACCTTCTGCAAGATAAAGTATATTAAGGAAAATGGCTAAATTTTGTATAATGGGGATATTTTGATGATGTGCTAAAACTTTCATCCAGAAAAGCTCGTTTTTCTCCTAACTGCAAATAACAGAGTATGCCAAGAGAGATAGAAAATGAAATAGCTCAGGCAATGGTAGCCTTATTTCCACTATGTGAGATGGGAAAAGTCTATTACAATGTTTTTTAGTGCAAATCAGATGCAAACTCAACGCATTGGTAGCAATCTTTATTTCAGATTTCTTTTAAGGCGTAGATGAGGCTTTTGGAAAGGAGGTTTATTTTTCCCCTCCTGAATCTCAGCCCTAAGAAGAATGTTGTGAGCTCCATGATGGAATCCTCCCACAATACTCAGTGGAGCTTTCTCTCTGGGGTTCATAGCAGACATAAAGGTAGGGGAAGGAATTACCTTAGGACAACAGAAGTGGAAAAGGTTAATATGACTTCCCTCCATATTTTCTGTTTTAAATTTTCATTAAAACAATCTGTCCACAATAGAAGGTGAGATGTAGAACTCAACTCCTCTTTGGTCTCCCGGCTTTACTTCCATTTCTGTGTTTTTAGCAAAGGATTTCTCTCTCTCCCTCACCAATAAGGAAGAAATGTGCATCTATCCATCCATATTCAAAACGCTAGTAGTAAAATCACACAGAAAAGTTTAAAGTAAAGATTATCTATGGGTCAATTGTGATCCTCTTTAATTCTGCTTTATTGATAGTTCATACAACACTTTCTCATATCACAGCACATCAGGTAGAAATTGTTGCAGGTATTTCTAGGTAAAGTGTGTGGATGAATGTTGAACTTGTTTAATTTCTGCCTATATATCCACTGTAATAGATGGATTGGGGTAGGAGAACCAACTATTGAAAAATTTGTCAGGATCGTTTATATCAAGTGATTGGGAAAGTTCCATCTACTGAGTATTTGCTTGGATTAAGTTGGGCACCTCTATCCCAGTCCAGTTGAAATGAAAGAGCAAAGAAATTTGCCTGCAAATCCTGACACGTAAAGCCATCATAGGCTACGAGACTGAACAAATTCCGTATACATTTAGTTCAAATTGTGGGTTTTTGTGGAAAGCAGATCTACCTTATGGTAGATCTTAAAGTAAGGGATGTTTGATTATTAAAGTAAAGGATGTTTGAAGTAAAGTAAAGTCCTTAAAGTAAAGGATGTTTGATTATTGATATAATACTACTCTGAAGTCCATATTCCTTGTAGCTGACAAAGTGATCACTGATCCAGGAAAGTTTATGCAAAAACACATTTGTTCATCTGTCAGGTGCTATATCACAAGATTATCTGGAATTTTTGTTCCATAGATTAACACAGCTACACCTGTGAAAATTAAAATGTGTCATTCTGGAATCCTGTCATAGATAATATAGGTCATTGGCTGCTTATACCTCACTTTCAAAGGTACACTGAAAATATTTGCATTTTAAGAGAGCAAATACAAGAATAGAATCTCCATCCCTTTTCCCAGACTGTCTAGCATCACACTGCCATGTGATCAGTTCTTCATAGAAGTTCTCCTCTATGTTCATTCATTCATTCATTCATTCATTCATTCATTCATTCATCCATCCATATTCTGCCTTTCATTCAGGAGTTCAAGGTGCTATATATAGCACCCTTCTTCCTATTTTACCCAGAACAATCTGTGAGGAAGTTTGGGATGAAAGAAAGTGACTGGCCCAAAGTTACCCAGTGAGCTTTCTTAAGTGAAGATTAATCCAAAATCTTAAAGGAAAATCCAAAACAGAAAAGAACATTATTTCAAGAGATATAAAAGCTATCTTTCCTTGAAATAGGGGGGGGGGGGAAAGCACATATTTGTAGTTCATACAAAGTATAGATAGCCAGTTTGGTGCAGTGGTTAAGGCATCAGGCTAGAAACTGGGAGACCATGAGTTCTAGTCCCACCTTAGGCAC